GGGGGATATATTTGAGAGGAAAGAGAAAAGGAACACTAGGTAGGTTTTACAACTTTTGCTCTCGTATTTGTGTTGATGGGGGTGATGTACATAAGGAGCAGCGGTACTTTCTCTGGGATAACTGGGTATAAGTTTGTAATTGTGGAGATGGTTGGGTGAAGTTTTCGCCTAATATAGTTTACCTGCTCTCAATTCTTTTAAGAGAGTTAATTTCTTTTGCCAATTTAATTCTCTCTCTCTCTCTCTCTCTCTCTCACTTGTGTACATGTCCATGCGTAAAATACCTATTTGGGCCTTCACATCATTTATATCAAGCACTGCCGAAGGAAAAGAAGAGAATCATGTTCCATGTTTCTTCGGTCATAGAATAGAATGAATCTTTATACTGTAGATATTAACTTGTTGCCATGCCTGCTGTGGATTACTTGTTGGACAATTGTATGTCCTGAAGCTGCGAGTTCAAACTATGATCAGAGGAATGAGGAAAGTGAAAGAAAAAGCCAGAGCAGAGAAACAGCGAAGCATTAAGCGTCCAGTAAGTCATAACTCAATGGTGCAACAACCAGACAGAAGAAATGGAATTTCGCCAGAAATAATGCCAGATTTTTTATGCATACACACCGGGTTGTTTCGCTCTGGAAAGATGGTACCATCATTGTGGATTACTTGTCTGGAGCCTAAGCCTTGCGTTATCATTTGTTCTTTAGCACGGAATTCTTGAAATTTGCATCAAGTTAATATACACTGAGGGGTTGTTACACTGCTTTAATCTTGGATACAGTCATAATGTCTATTTTTAATTCTTACATTCAGAATTCAATGGTTGAAAAGGAAATGGACATTGTGCTTGTGAAAAACTAACAAGGAATCCTTATTAGTTGAGGGAAGAAATAAAATATGAGATTAGGTACAGAAAATTGAATCTAAAGAGAAATACAGGTGATTTTAACGGAATACAACAGCCTGTGAATGGTGGATGCACGTATCATGGAAGGGAGTTGTACCAAATTACTATCCATGTTCTATGTAGTATTCTTAAACGAAAACTCTCCTTGGGGAAGGCAAAACTTCTCGAGCACCCATGTACAGCAGGCCTACTAATTCACCTCCGCTTCGAACGGACAGATGGATTCACCTACACTGCGAGAAGCGCCACCACCTCCACCAGGAGGCCTGCCTGCTGGACGTTATAGACGATTATTTTCTTGGTAATGCCTTTTTCATTCCCCCGCCTCTATAACATGCAAAGGTAAATATCAGTTGCTACGATTATTTTGTTTATTTTTACTTTCCTTTTTCTTTATTTTTTCAATTTTTTAAAAGTCCAGGTTCTGGTTTCCGTCCATGTTTGTTTCCACCCGAACCCCCACCTGCAGTGTGACGACTTGATTATGTAATATGCATGTGCAAAGTTCTTATAAACAATGATCACACTCTCAAGTCTCAATGCCGATCCTTCATATGAAGTACCATCGACAAATGCACAAGAGAGAGACTAGTATGATTCTGTACTAGTTTTTCGTGGATAGTGTACTTGGTTATAAATATTAACATTCAACCTCCTCAGGCAAAATCGGATGCTTGTATCACATCTATTCACTATTTAATGCTGAACAACTGGGGCATATGGAGGAGTTGCACCCGTAAAACTGGAACAGTACAGCTCTACAAGTCACACAAGATCCCGTGGACTTCACAGCTGAAGTGAAATATATAGTGACAAAAGCAACAAGCTGAAACTAGCAGCAGTAGCCCGACAATTTGAGTTATGCTATAGAAATGTCTACTTTCGTACTAGTAAGTTGTTTATGTCTACCTTCTTCTGCAAAGCCTGCAAAACACAAAGGAATGTAAACTATAGAAATGTCCTTGGAATTCTTTTATTAATTTGAGCTATGCTACCAGAACCATAATCACCTTTAACTCCTCCTCCAATGATAACTTTTTAGGCTTGTATGATCCTGTTGGTCCCGATATAGATAATGCTTCTTTTGTCTCAATAATCTCCCATTCTTTATCATCTTTCACCTTTGCAATATCCTTCCTGGACCATAGAATCCCACCACATTAGTAGAGAGGATTATGAAATGAAAACCTGAAGATAATGATGTGGAATGAGGCGCTTTTAGGCACCGGAACAGTGTTTAAAACAGGTATTTTTTCATGCATAAGGTTAGAATGAAGACTGCTAATTGTTATACGATCACAAAAGCATATATTTATTGATCATTTTGACAACAGCTATACCATGAACATGATACGATGAAAGCCATGCCAGAGAAAAACTAGCTATTTTGCAATCATTTGGATTATAAGATCAATTTATCAGTTCTGGTCCTACTGTAGTAAAAAGCCATGCCAAAGTTTAAACGGCTTGAAATCAATTAGCGGTCTTAGTCAATCTCTTCCAGTGAAGCCACAGGATCCAACTGACTGTTTTCACTCATATTTCGACGTTACCACACAAGAAATCTACCTGAACAAAACTGGGTAGTTTTTTCATGTGATACATTAGAGATTAGAAAGATATTGTTTGGCTGTTGTCTCGAGGAAAAAAAAATAAAGACAAGGAGAACGTATCTCCCTTGCTTCTGCTTTTAGATTTATTTTTTATCTTTATTTATATCTCTTCAAACAAATATGTTTTTAGCTCTAATCTCTTATCTTTTCTGAACTGGACACTGACTAAACGCAATTAAAAATCTTCAAGTTACATCAAGAAGTCTTATGCCAACTAACTCCTTATTTTTCATAAAGCAAGACTTCTAGACAACTAGTTAATACATGGATCAAGGAGGGAGAGAACAAGCAAATCTCCTACAAAATGTGATCGCCTCCATAAATGATAGTTCAGCCATGAAAATTCCAATCCCAAGAAACACAAGTCACCACCAGAAAACAAACCCGACCTCCTAATTTCTCCCAAAGCAAGACTGTTAGACAACTTGTTGATCTCTAACTGATGCTACATATATCAGAGTAGCAAGAGAATAAATATTTCCTCTAAAATGTAATCTCCTCCATTGATGACAGTTCAACCTCGATCTCCTCCAGAAAACTAGCATGGCCAAAAACTGATACCAACAGGTTTCCAAGTTACCCCAACTTACAATAACTCCCCATCTGCCAGCCTTCAAAGAGAGTAAAATAACGAAACACTGACTATACTAGCATCTTCATATACTATATCAACCAGCTGCAATTCCTGTCTGCTACTATTTGCCAACATGAGCCAGATAAAAAAAAAAAAAAACCCTTAAAATTAGGTCACTTCCTATTTTAAATAATTCAAATCAGCCACACCTAAGCAATTTGTGATGGTTAAGAAGGGAAAGTGAAAAGTTAGCATCACACCTGCTAGCATGATTACCCTTGAAACCCTCACTGGTTTTTTTTTTAATAAAACCACATCAGAAAATAAAAAAACCGCATAAACTCACAAACTTTTTAACAAAGTTAACATACCACGAACAGAAGCTAACGTTATCAGCCTAGATTCAGCACCAGCCTAATATAAAAACAAAAACTACGAGCTGGATTTTCATAAAACCACAAAAAAAAAAACTGTTCTGAAATGAAATTTTTACAATGTTACATTATTACAAAGGTCTCATCTTTCATCATAGGATCTATAAAGCTACAAACTTTTTCATAAATTGAGAAAAAGAAAAGCGCAAGCCTGCCATGCAAGAGATGAGCAAGTCCTAAAGTACCCATAACAGTGAGAGAAATCATGGGGAGACCGTATCTGATAAAGGGGTGGCCTCTACCTGAACGATGATGCCCGTGGTGTCTCAATCTTTCTAGCTGTGTTGGTAATTTTTTGGGGCCGGCTCATATTGGTCTCAATTGTTGACATTTTTTCACTAAATCACTCACGATTACGTGCATCAAAGGTTAGAGATTCTTCGGTTTTTGGTCACCAATTGGAAATTTGCCCCATTTTGTGTTTTGATTTTCTATTTTCTAGGGTTTGATTATGGATTCTGTCTTAGGCATCGATCGGTATTGCTATTCGGCTATTTTTTAAAATGTTGTTTCTGAAATATAAAAAATACTTTGAAAAAACACTTTCGTTGTCAAACACGCTTACAGATTTTAACTGCTTGATTTGAGGAGACTTTTACATGTTTGGGGAATTTGAATCTGCCGGGCTGAGCTTTTGTTATGGTTTAACTTTAAAAAATTTAGATTTGAACATGAATTGAAAAAAATGCAAACCAGGTGATATTTGTTGAAGTTCTCAATAAATTTCAATTAACAAAAGCATCGTTGCAAGGGAGGAGTAAAATAAAGAGCTGGCACAAATCAAGCATTAATGGCCTCGCCAATAGCTACTGACAGAGTAAAAGGGTCTGAACACTTGGTATTTGCTGCATTAGCAGGGTTTTGGTTGAGATCTAACCGCATTGCCCCTTTTTGATGAATGAATGATAACAATCAAAGTTAAAAGAGTATTGAAAACAATGAAGCATTTCTAAAAAGTTAGCGATTGATTCAATTGACCAACTTTAATTCCCGAATTTCAGGAAAAGCTGGGTCGAGAAATCCCACATATTGGCGGGGGAGGTCAGACTGCGCGATATAGGAGCAATACATCATCTTGACCCCATCTTTTTAAGTTGACTCTATAATTTGTTAGAAGATTGTACAATTGTTTCTTTTCACTTAAAGTTTACGTTTAAAAGCAAAAGGGAGTGTTTCTTTTGATGATCCACAAGCTGAGAGGCATACTCAGGGAGTTAGGTTCTTAGTAAATTATGGATGCTTGGGTGCACAATGACCACATATTGAACAATTATGTATTGGCGAGTAAAGCAGTTTCATGTTGTCATCTGCTCCATTAGAAACATCAGGGAGACCAAAACAATTGAAAACAGAAGCAGAAAGTTATGCTGAAACAACCTAAGATTCTAGTTTGCGCGCATGGGACATGGATTGAGAGAAACGAATCTAATTTGGAAAGTTTGTGCTGAAAGAGGACAGAAAGACAAAGATAGTAAGGAAGCAACCAAAATTATAAGATCAAAATGAATCCGAGAGAATGTGAACGTCCTACAATATAAGTTGCGAATATAATCACAGGATAAGTTAAACCAACTTCTAAATAGCAAGTAGCGACACCTAGACAGCTTAAGCAAAACTCAAGAAAGGAGATGTCTTCTTCTTTTTTTCTTTCCGGAGAGTTTGATGTTCATTTTACTGATTCATTATTCTGATTTTCTCCTCCAATTATGAGTGGTGCTGAGGACGTTGGTAATTCTTTGGTATCCGTTGGTTTTGATGCTTTTGGATCCCCATATTTTAACTTTGATCGACTAAAACCAAACTTTCTTAACAAGATGTTCCAACTCGACACCTTTGTTTTTCCCAGCTTCTCAATCTCTTGTTTCATGCTCAAACACTCTTTCTCAAGCTCGGAAACTCGTTCTTTCATGTCATCTACCATGATGTGGTCATGTATGGCTCCTGCTTGAGGATGTAAATCATTTCTCGCAAGAGCAAGATTCCCACTTAGGTTTTGTGAGTTATCAAGGTTTTCAGAGACAAAGAACCAGCCAGAAACAGAGGTGCGAAGCCGTAGTTGTTCAAAGAATACAACTTGGACAATGACTCTAAGAGGTAGCCTCTCATTCTGGGTTGCGTGAGTGCTGGCTTCCAATGAAAACTTTTGACAGTTCATGAGCCTGCAAAGCTGTTCCCTCTCAGAATCTGTTAGCCATGGATGAGCCTGCAGTAAAAGAAAATAAATATTAGTGACCACTGAAATAACGAAGCATAGGTCCAAGTCACATGAAAATAGCTTTGTAGGGAAAGAAAAACAATTTTAAACATGCTCCATTTTGAACAATGTCATTGGACAATGAACAAAGAACTCCGTAAGCTTGAATTATATCATCAAATTTATTGTTGAACTTCAGGAAGGAAACCAGATAAAGAACCATTTGAAGATTATTGCCTTTACCTTAAGATATATATCAATTGCTCGGTAAATTCCATCATCTATTGGCCTGGCATAATCAGGGACTGCAGCAGCAAGAGACTGAAACTTCGCTAACTTCAAATTAACATCAGATGCTACCTCTGCTAGATATCTATCAATCAGATTTGCCACCATTGTTATTGGAATGAGCGAATGCGAACTTTCAGTTATTTGCCCTCCATGTTGGACGTAATTTGATGTGGGATCATCACGATCCATCAGCATGAAATGATCGAGAATTCGCTGAACACAGTCGATATCATAAAGGGTTTCCACTGAGTAGCCTGAATTTGGTATCAGAAGGTCTTGAAGAGATGCTTCATCCAACTGGGTTCCAACCCGTTTCTCTAAGTTCTGTCGGCATGATGGACTCGCATGTATTATCATGGCAGTTCGCAGAAGCCTAAGCAGGAAATTACTTGGAGTAACACCCTTTTGATCAGGCAACAATTCCACTATTTCTTCAAGGAGACTCCTTTGATCTGCTTCAGACGTAGCAGAAATAGTTGATCTAGATGCAGCATAGTCTCCACTCTCTATGCTTGATTTCCTACCCAACAAAGGGAGATGCTTCTTTGCATAGTACATTAGTGCCCCAGCAACCCTCTTAGGCTTCATATCATTTGAACGAACTGCCAGAATTAGCCTTTTGTACAGAGGTAGTCTAAGCAAGGAAACATCCTCATACCACCAATCCTCACCCACAGGATGCGGCGTGGCTGAAGTACGTATTCCATTCCAGAATACAGTGCCATCTGGGTTCCTATTGTCGCTGCCACCTTGCATGGGCCAACTGAACAAACTTGGATCTGCGCAAGCTTTCATTGCCAGGGAATTAATGCATCTCGAAACAATATGAAGCTCTTCTGCTAGTAGAGGAACCTCTTCGCAGGTTTTAAGAGCTTTAAGGGAGTCTGTCCAGCTGCCAAATACTTCATTGAGAAAATTTTCTGTTTGTGTGATGAGGTTTTCCTCCCCATAGTCTTCACTCATTCCAAGATACTCAGCGGCACATCTGAGACTAACTACATTCAATGCAGTGAGTTCCATTTTTATACCATAGCAGAATTTGGCAGCAAGCAAGAAGGTTTTGGCTCCACCAGGTACATCATGAAGTTGTAGAACACACCTTTTCTCGTCCTCGCTAGTATGCTCTCCAATAAGATTTTCTAGTACTTCACTTCTGGAGAGCAATGGAAACTGCAGGAGATAAAAGAGAGAACTCCGCTCAATAGTAAGTAAATAAAATCATAAAAGTGAATGCTAGCAGGTATTTTATCCCTGTCTACCACGGTTTTAATTAGCTAGGCAGAAGAGAAGCCTTTTGTTCTTCCCCGATGAATGTTAGAGCACACCAAGGCCAAGGCGTAAGAGTCGTATCATTATATCTGAGAATAAGAAGCATAGAGGAAACAATCGAAGAAATAATAACAGGATGGAGATAATTGCTTCCAAAAATTCTTTCCATTTTACTAACTCCATTCATTAAAATTTTCATAAACAACAAAGAAAAAGGTATGAAAGATATTATCATTGCTAAATCTAGTTTTGATCCATGATATCCTAAATATTTTGAGGTGAAATGAGCTAATTCAGCGCACGGAAGCAATATCTTCCAAAATCAGAACACGACAGATGAAATTGGGTATAAGAAAACAAATAAGATTAAATGCCAGTATGAAATCCTTTATGAGGTGATAGAATAAAAGTACAGTTTGGCCATGTAGCACACACCTTGTGAAGATGGAAAGACATCTCCCCAATTTCAATAATGACATCACTTTGAAGCCCGGTTGAGCAAAGCCTGCACCAAGGCACATTCTAGTTTTATTTAAAATGCAGATGGAAATCTCTAAGCAAACTCTGTGCACATAGAAGTACAGTTAGATATCAAGTGAGTTTATGCATGCGCTCTTCATAAAAAAATTTAGCATCCATTAATGATACAATGCCTGAATAATCCTTTTTGTAATCCAAAAGCAGGTGAAAGTAAATCCAATTGATACTGCACACGGTAATTAGAAATGACTCCTCTAAAATTTTCACCTCAGAACTGAAAAGGGGAAAGACCCCACTTATTTATCTGATACCAGTTATCATTATATTGACTACATCAAAACCACTGCATAATGCCAGTGATCATTGTAAATAATCATCTTTACACACACATTTCTCGAACATAATAAGCCATTATAAATGCACAACAACCACACATTAATTTTCATTTAACACTGTCATAATCAACCCAAAAACTCATCTCAACATAAAAACAAAATAAACCCATTATATGATTTCCAACCTCGACAAAAACCCACATTCTCAGATCATCATTGCAGCCAGTCCTTAACCATAATCAAATACATCACATTCATCCACACACAGATATACAAATATATATGTAAAGAAAAGAGTGACAGACCAGGTATGGCCATCGAGATGAAAGACTTCTGATTTTGATCCCAGCTTCATGCAAGCCATGTATAGCCTAAGCTATTACAAACGTTGTCAAAGCAACAATCTTTTTCTGATGGAAATATCAAAGAAACAATCTTTTAATGAGAAAAAGCGATGAAAAAGGTGATTTCTGAATTCTGATAGGATGGAAAGGGAAACGAGTGAAAAACAAAATGTGGGCTTTGGTCTTCGTTGATAAATTTTGCAGCTTTTCGGGTAACAAAGTAAAAAATAATAAAGATTTAGAGTAAACAAAGAGTCCCGAGTCCAAGGGAAAAATCCAGGAGCAGAATCGGTTGCTGCTTTTACAAGAAAAAGGCAGAGTTTGTTTCGGTCATCCTTTATAAGCACTTCCTGTTTTCTTACGTTAGTACTAGAGAGGCAATAAACATTTAAAGTATGCTTCGTTTGTTGTTACTATTCATTCTTGAAATTATCTCCAATTTAATTGTTTATGGTACCCAAAGAATTGTCCTAGCACTGCTATTTACCGCGATTGATTTCCTTGAGAGCCAAACAGAGCATGGTTGAATTTTTACCTGCAATTTTATTAGCATAAAAACAGACAAATGATGTTATTTGCAAACAAAATATTCACCTAACGTAAGGAACATTTAAAGTAGAAATGTTTGGAGGAGTGCAAAGTGAAAATGCAAGATTAAGAGATTTAAGAGCTAACATTTCAACTTTGAGCCTTGCGACATGGGACTTTGGGATAAAGGATCTTCCATGGGACAAAAAAAAAAGTACTTTGTTTATTTCTTCTTCTTTTTTTTGGGTTTTTTTTAATTGGACCCATAAATAAGTGTTTAATATTATATAGTATTTTAAAAGTATTTTTTAATTGAAGATATTTTAAAATAATATTTTTTATTTTTTTAATTTTGATATTATCATGTTCAAATCTTCCAAAAATACATATTAATTTGATATTTTTTAAATTAAAAAAATTAAAAACACACTTTAAAAATATACAAATCAAATTTGGTCTTATTTTTTTTAAAACCATTATTATTCTTAATAATTTCTTTTACTCCTACCACGTCAAGATTATCTTAACATTTTATCTTCAAAACTTACTTTTTTAATATTAAATCTTCAATTTTAAATTATAGAAAATACAATATAAAAATATACATGGTATTGTATTTATTTAGATTTATAATTTGTTAAATTTATATAATTTATAATTTAAATAAACTTGTGTTTAAGAAAAATATTGGATTAAGAATTGTTATTAGATTCCTGTGAAATCAGCTACTCATGCTTGAAACAGCTAATGATTCCTTAAAATCAGCTACTCATGCTTGAAACAGCTAGCACCCACTCAATTAACAGCTAATGATTCCTTCCCTTCAAGAATACTGAAAATTTACATAATTTTTAATTTTTGAACTCGTATATATAAACTGGCCGAACAATCAATATTAATTTTAAAAAAATAGACAACAAATGATTCGTCAATAGACCAGCCCAGTGAGGATTGGGGGTTCGAGAGGCGAAATTAGGGTTTTCCTTTTTCGGATGGGTCCAGACTAGTATCCTTTAAGGCCCGTATTGGCATCCCTTGCTCCTCGTAACAAGGCCGAAGGCCCAACGCTTCTCTGTCTGCCTGTCTTGTCTGTTCAAATGTGCCCTCTCCTGTCGTCCATCGCCACTGCCAGTTATATCTCGTAACTGGTAGAAGCAAATATAGAAGAGGACTTGACAGTTTACAAGACATGGCGAGTTCAACATCCATGGAAGCAGCGGGACTCACTCTACCTTTCTTGATCCTCACATTTCTCACAATTGCCGCTGCATCCTCAACTAACCAGATCCAAATCCTTAACGCTGAACGTAGAGTAAGAGCAGCTATGTCTCTTCGCTCATTTTCAAAAATACAAACTTAAGAGGAAGAAGATGATATATTTCATGACTTCTTTTTTGTTTGTTTGTGTGATAATTGGTGCAGATTGACTTGAGTTCACATATTGTAAAGGTCTTCTTGACTTTAAAGGTATGCCATTTTTTACATTACTTTGTTTGATTCTCTTTTCATATATATATATATATAATCAAACAGATGCGTTTACGAAGAATTTGCAAAAAAAATTAATTTTGGGGATTAAATCTGTCCTTGGCTCTTGAAATTTGCAATCTTTGACGGCGCAGAAATCAGAATTTGATATTCTAGGTTAAAATTCAATGATAGAACATAAGCTCAAAACCTTCTGGCATGTTGACTGAGGTTTTGCTTCGAGTTATGAGAATGAGGTAATGTCTTAGGTGCAAACACTCTATATTTGTGCAATAGTTGCAAACCGTGATCGAATTTCCTACACGGTAATTGCCAACTGATGGTTTGTATGTGGTCAAATGGTCCGTCAACCTATGATCATATAGAAAAGAGTTGAGTGTGCATGATTATAAGGTCTACAATTGGGTCAAAAAATATCTAAGGATTTTGGCTAGTATATTCACGTGTGGAGATATGTGCATTCCAGATACGAAGTTCTTCTGTGTTTGTGTTTCTCCTTTTTATGGATACAAGTATGAATTTGATTCAGGTTGAGAATGTCGGGACAACCCCTGCTTCAGAAATCGTTCTTGCATTTCCACCTGCTCAAGCTGATCATCTAGCACTTGTCAAAGCACAAGCAGCTATAGGCAAGAAGAAGAAGAAGAGTTATGTTCATCTTGATGCAAACCCAACAGAGCTACCTGATGCGCCAAATGGAACTAAATATTTTAGTATATCTTTGCTTAATCCGTTAAGTTCAGGTGAAACTGCAACTCTGGAAGTGCTTTATATATTAACACATTCTCTGGAACCTTTCCCAGCAGAGATAAGCCAATCAGAATCACAATTAGTATATTTCCGTGACAGTGCATTAATACTGTCACCATATCATGTTAAGCAGCAAACTACCTTTCTTAAGACACCAAGTACAAAAGTAGAATCATTTACAAGAGTGGAACCCAGCAAGCTTGCTGGTAGAGAACTAAAGTATGGACCATATGAAGATCATCCTCCATATTCATTTTCTCCAGTAATTGTTCATCTTGAGAATAACAGCCCATTTGCTGTTGTTGAAGAGCTTTTAAGAGAAGTAGAGATATCTCACTGGGGCAACATTCAGATAACAGAGCATTACAAATTGGTCCATGCTGGTGCTCGACACAAAGGCGTGTTTTCCAGGTTGGAATTGTGTCTGTTTTTCCCTCCCTTCATATTCATTCAGTTTGCTGCATCCCCCGCCCCCCACTCTCTTCTTTTTTTTTAATAATTACCTACCTTTGAATTGAGGCCACAATGGAACACCAAACTATCAGCATAATTGCACAACAGCAAATACCTGTATGGATAACGCATGGCAAATGATTTTCTAACCTATTTCTGATCTAAATAAGTTTTGTGTCCCTTTCTTATTTCAAGGATCATGGTCAGCAGTCGGCCATTTGATGGAGCTAAAACTGTAAACACATAGTTTATATGACTGTTTTTTCCTTTTCATATGTGTTTCATTTCTGTAATTAGATCATTTTAATCTCATCTTTTGAGACGTCCTTCTGGCAGAGTTGAGTATCAATCTAGGCCATCTTTTAGTGGCACATCTTCCTTCAAACACCTTCTAGCAAGTCTACCACCTAGGGTGCACTCTGTGTATTATCGGGATGACATTGGAAACATCTCATCATCACATTTACGTTCAGATTACCGTAAGGTATTGCCCCAATTTTCTAGTTATATACTTGCATCATAATGGAACTATGGTTATATATTGATTGAAGGAGAGATATGGAAATGCTTAAAATTGAGGGAAAATGGTACTCTGTTATTTTTATGGACTACAGTTTTCATCTTCCTATGTGCTGACTCGACACATTTTAAACAGTCAGAACTTGAAATCGAACCACGGTATCCTCTATTTGGAGGTTGGAAGGCTACTTTTGTTATTGGATATGGGCTACCACTGGAAGACTTCCTTTTTGAGTCTCCTGATGGCAAGCGTTACCTCAACTTCAGCTTCGGCTGTCCTCTTGCGGAGACTGTCGTGGACAAGTTGACCATCAAAGTGAGTTTGCTTCTATTGATCATTTGCACTCATGATGCTGTTTTATGATGTTTGTCCATTAGTTACTTCAATCATGTTTTCCACATGCTAATGCCAGAAGATGTTTTATTTCAGGTTGTGCTACCAGAGGGATCAAAAGACCCTTCTGCTGTTGTTCCTTTTCCAGTGGAGCAGCGTCTAGAGGTACAAATCCCAGCACAACTCAAAATATTACTCTTAAAGTTTAACAAGTATGCAGGATACATTGTTAACATATTTCATTATTTCGTACTATAAGGCTATAAACAATAACAAGAAAATTGCATAAAATTTTTAGTATAAAAAACTGGAATGATATTTAGCTCCCCCCTTATAAGAAGTATTCGATCTATAAAATTGAGCTTGGTGCTTTGCTTTGTTGAGACATAAAGGCACCGATTGTCTGTGTTTATATTTTTGGAAATTTGTTCACTTTGAACTGAGATGTCATCTATGTTTCGATTTTGTGCAGACCAAATATTCATACCTTGATGTTGTTGGGAGGACTGTTCTGGTTCTGGAGAATAAGAATGTAGTTCCTGAGCACATTACTCCTTTTCAGGTGATTTGCACTTCCCTTGAACATCAATGTGTTACTGCCCTTGTAACTCAGTTTTGATTTTCCTAGGTATCAAATGAAGAGTCGTAATAGCTAGGTCTCGATTGGCAATTAAATACCAATCAATGTCACCGTTTTAGGACTAGATTTAGGCAGTTTTAGATGCAATCATTTTGTTTATTTATGGATGCTGATTTTTGGGTATGAAGATAAGAATTGTTGAGGATTGCACCAGATACTAACTGTACCAACTCTACTTGAGTGCTATTTGCCTCTGCAATGTTGCGGGTTGTGTAAGTTTTCTAGGCAAGCTTCATGGTTCCTGAAAAAATAAGATTTTAAATTTGAACAGTAGAGAGTTTTTAAACTGCATGATTATGTGCTACAGGATAGTACTGTATTTTTCTATTTATAATGATTGTTATGCTGTGCCCACATTGGTTATTGCTTCATTTAGAGTTGTGGAAGCTCTCTTTAGTGGTATGAATTTTGGGATTTGAAATGCTTGGCTGACTCTGTCAAGTTAGTAATATGCCTGTGACTTGCATGATTTGTAATATTCCGCAACATTATTAAGTAATTTCCATTTTGATTTTCTCATACAAAACGCCCCCTTTGATTCCCGTATTTGTGAGAGCTTAGTAACATTTGTCTTG